GCTGCATCCGAACAGGGACTAAAAAATTGTTGCTGTAGTTCAAGTGCTGATAAAACTATTATAGGAAGAACAGTGTCTAGATTTCCAAAATTAAGGTAGAATTGCAACTTCTGGATGATTATACATAATATACTTACCATTCCAACAATGTTCAAATGACTGCACTTTTTTATGTCTTCATCTGTCACTGCATCTGAAAGACAAAAAAATATATGTATAAATATATCAGAAACATTTATGTAGGATATGTTATTTGTAGAATATTCAATAAATAATAACTATCAATTATCAGTTTTTAACTTTAAAACAAACGATGATGGGTCACTCTGTTATTTAAATTTATCTAAATTTGTAATATACGAACTGAAAATGGGTGGAGTTCACACTGAATGCAAATATACATATATAATAACACAGTTTAGAGTCTGCAAAGTTACTTTCATCATTAACTCATTTACAAACTATCTTTGTGCCAGGCAACATTTCAGGAATTTAAGTGCACATGCAAATGAGTTTCGTAGATGTAATACTTCATGATTGGAAGGCAGTGCAAACCATACTATTGAGGTATACATCAGCAATGCTTAAATTAATTGCTTCATTTAGTCAAGGGCCTCAAGAGTGAGGCATATGATGACTCAATATTTTTTTTTGATGTACATCAATGTCATTGATCATCGCATTTATCCTTTCTATTTACTATTCATATCAAGTTATTTATTGATTTATTTATTTATACCTATAAAAGTTCAAAAATGTTTCCGAGAGCCCCACCATCATGTAGCAAATTTTTGAAACAATTTAAAGAATTATTTTATGCAAATTAGCTATGCTGACCCACCGATGTCAGAAAACAAATCATGATGCCAAACTTGGAAGTATTTTTTAACATCTATATTGAAACCATCATTTGTAAAGATAAACATGTTGGGGGGAAAAAAAACTTGCTTTGTTTTCAAGAGTTTACTATTTTTTTTCAATTATCATACTGTGTGATTCAGTAGTGACAGGTAACCAGTTATTTATACATCATTACAGTAGAAGGCACGAGCCAATCAAGGTATACTGTATAGAGCTCAATTATTAGACAAGTTTTATTTTTGGATATTTCACTGATAGCTTGAATGTGCTAAATTAAAACTCAATGAATTAGCTTAACAATAGAATATTAACAGAATGTTAACAATAGAATGTTAACAGAATGTTAACAATAGAATGTTAACAATAGAATGTTAACAATAGAATGTTAACAATAGAATGTTAACAATAGAATATTAACAGAATGTTAACAATAGAATATTAACAGAATGTTAACAATAGAATATTAACAGAATGTTAACAATAGAATGTTAACAGAATGTTAACAATAGAATGTTAACAGAATGTTAACAATAGAATGTTAACAGAATGTTAACAGAATGTTAACAATAGAATGTTAACAGAATGTTAACAATAGAATGTTAACAGAATGTTAACAATAGAATATTAACAGAATGTTAACAATAGAATGTTAACAGAGTGTTAACAATAGAATGTTAACAGAATGTTAACAATAGAATGTTAACAGAATGTTAACAATAAGAATGTTAACAACGAATGTTAACAACA